GTTCGAATCTGGCCGTTTGTCTTCCGCCAACCCGCACGGCGTGTGCGCGCCCTTAAAAATGCACGACCCTTGCCAGAGCGCGACGCCAGGCCTGCAGCGCTGGGCCAGTCGGACCTTCGCGGAACTCTCAGCCCGAGTGATGCCCGCGCCGAGACTAATTTGGAAAATAAATCGGCGGTGATTTCTCGGCCGGCTTCGGGGCCAGATAACGGCCGGCCAGCATCGGCAGAGTAAAACCGCTCGCGGCCGCGTCGCTGACCTCCCCTGACGGGTCAGCTGCTGACCTCTCCTTAACGGTCAGCGGCTGACCTCTCCTGGAAGGTCAGCGGCTGACCTCTCCTGGAGGGCCAGCCGCTGACCTCTCCTGGAGGGCCAGTCCCTGACCTTTCCTGGAGGGCCAGTCGCTGACCTCTCCTGGAGGGTCAGGGGCTGACCTCTCCTGGAGGGTCAGCGGCTGACCTCTCCTGGAGGGTCAGCCGCTGACCTCTCCTAGAGGGTCAGCTGCTGACCTCTCCTGGAGGGCCAGCCGCTGACCTCTCCTGAAGGGTCAGCCGCTGACCTCTCCTGGAGGGTCAGCCGCTGACCTCTTCTGGAGGGTCAGCCGCTGACCTCTCCTGGAGGGTCAGCCGCTGACCTCTCCTGGAGGGCCAGCCGCTGACCTCTCCTGAAGGGTCAGCCGCTACCTCTCCTGAAGGGTCAGCCGTAGACCTCTCCTGGAGGGCCAGTCGCTGACCTCTCCTGGAGGGTCAGCCGTTGACCTCTCCCGGAGGGCCAGCGGGCGAGAAGGGCGGCTCGGGGATCGGCAACCCCGCTGACAGCATCCCGACCAATCTTGGCACGATGTGCCGCAGGCGACTACGCCCACCGGCGGCGAACTCAGGCGCGAAATAGAATCTGACCATTCGTCGATGGCGTCGAGAAATGGGATAATAGAGCCGGTCTCATCGGGGAGTACCGCCGTAAAACAGATGGGAAAGGTGGCGGCAAGGGGCTCGACTGTGTGGCAGCCGGCTGTGTGGCGGCTGGCAGAAGCGATAGCGACGCGCCAGGATTGAACGTGTGGCGGGCGGCTGGCGGTGCGGTGTGAGCGGTGATGAGGCCCGCTCTGAAGGTCCGACCCGGGCCCCTCCCTCAGGATCCCGGCCTAAGGTCCTGGCCCTTGACTTCGGTCTCATATTCGAGTCTCGGGCTCCAGGCTTGGGGTCCAGTCTCAAGGTGCAGCTTCTGGATCCAAGAGTCTCCAGTCTCATGGCCCTTCTCCATATTCTGGCCTTAGGGTCTGGTCTAGCCCGACCTTAGGGTCCGGCCTCATGCTCGAGTCTGGCACGGCCTCGGGTCCGCTCTCGGTGTCTCATTTGATCTGACCTTATTGCCCCATATCAGTGACCCGTCCCGCTCAGCCCAACAGCTCCAGTACTGCCTATGCCTGTGCTCCGGCTCGTGGCTCACCTCAGAGGAGCCCGACCCGACCTCCTCACCAACACTTCGGCCCGCCCGGACAGCGTCTGGCTGCGCTGACAGTGGGTGGGCAGCTGTGAGCTGTACCGCAAACGGATGACGGCCAATGGCCCTCCGTCCGGCGGCAGGAAAAACCCAGCCCACGGCAGACACGACCCGCGTCCGCCGCATCACGACATATCGACGGCCGTCTGGTCACGACGGCGACCACGGCGCGTCATGATCCCGCCGGTCGACCGCCACCCGCGGCGCGTTCGCGGCGCGCCGGCGGCGGCCGCCTCATTTCGCCGCGCTCGTCAGGCGCCGCCCTCGCAGCGGGGCGGGGATTGGTGCGTCGCGGCGCCGGCGACACCACTCCCGGCGCCGGACGTGCACGTCCGCCGCCGCCGCCTCACGCCCTCCGGCTGGCGATGTGCTGCCAAATGATGTCCAGCCGGACCAGGGGCGGCTCCAGATCGACACCTCGGCGGCGGCGCCCCTCCTGCAGCCGCTTCTCCGGCTAAGGCAGCCGCAGAGCTGTGTCATTCTCAGGGAAGTGCACAAGTTCACTTGCCGTCCAAGCGCCGCTACGTCACAGCCTACCCGATCCATCCATTAGAGCCAAAGAGAGGCAGCCGAAGAGGCATCGCCGGCGACGTCTCGCGCGCGCGCCCGCAAGCACTGTAGTACGTGCCTGACGCGAATCCATAATGTGCGCGTAGATTTGACTTTGCGGGCGCCGCACCTCGGCCTGTCCGCCCACCGGTCCCGGCCGCGCCGCCGCCGCCGAGACGCCTCGGCTCAGCCAGGCGGCCCCTGACGCGCCGCCGCTCAAGCTCGCTCGCTCGAGGCGACCGCGGTGCCGCCGAAGCGGGCGCCTGCAAGACAGCGCGACGTCGAATGGATGCCATTACCTTCGATCTACGGGCATTCAAACTTGAGGATCAGATAATGCGAGGCGCACGTGCCCAGATCGGAGTCGTTCCTTCGACAGTGCGGCTGAATGTATTTAACCGCCGGCAGATAAGCAAGTCATTGTCTGCCGCCCGACGGACAGTTTCACTCACTGCCGGTGCTGCACCGGCGGCGCGGAACGGCGGCGACCCCCGCAGCACGAGGAAGATGCGTTTCACTGGCCGTTCGGCAGGTCAGTTCGGCTGTTCGACCGACCGCACCCATTCAGCTCGGTATTTCCGCCCGGCCAGATCCGGCCATTATATACATTTTCCGCCTCCGGTGCCTTCCAATAATCTTCTGATCCATTCTGATTTACGGCCGTATGAAACTCATTCCGGAATCAGTTGGCCGGTATAAATCACGGGCGCTGCGGGAGGCCCTCCGCCGCCTCGGCTCCCACGAGGGAGGAAGACATTCGGAGGTATCGCGCGGCGGGCGTGCCCCTCCCATCTGCATAGCGGCGGCCCTGGGCGCCGCCTTCGCCGCGCGCGGCGCCGATCCGTTTGTTTTACGACGGCTGTCGCAGCTAAGTCAGCGCCGCGTCTCTGCGCCCGAGCCGCCTGAGACGAGAGAGCGCTCCGAGCGCACGAGGAGCCGCTCCGACGTGGTTCCGACAGCGCGAGACGTGGCCGTCGTGGCTCCCGGCTTCATGGGAGCCTCCCGCGGCTCCCGACGGCAGGGGAGCCTCCCGCGGCTCCCGGCGTTAGGGGAGCCTCCCGCGGTCTCCGGCCGAAGGAAGCCTCCTTGCGACTCTCCGCCACTGAGAAACCTCCCGCGGTTCCCGGCTGACGGGAGCCTCCCGCGGCTCCCGGCGATAGGGGAGCCTCCAGCGGTCTCCGGCCGAAGAAAGCCTCCTTGCGACTCCCCGCCACTGAGAAGCCTCCCGCGGTTCCCGGCTGACGGGAGCCTCCCGCGGTCCTCGGCCGACTCCGGACGAAGCATCGTCAGCGGCGGGCTCGATCCGTCTCCCTTCCGGCCGCCACTCGGCACTCGGCCGGCGCCGACATCCGATGCCCGCGGGGCGTGTTTGCGGTCATTCAGCCGGCGACGGTCAGACCGCCGGGACGCCGCCGGCCGTCCTGCCCATTAGATGACTCTCGGACCTCGGCCGGCCGCTAAAAGCATCCGTATCATGTGTTGGACGCCGCGTTTTATCCATTAACCCGGCCCGTTGTCGCCAATATTGACTACTGGCCGCATAATGGGGACGGGATGGCCGGCTGCCGGCGGAGAGGCACTCTCGACACAGCGGCCGAGTGGCAGATCATGCCGGCTGACACGGCCGCGACGCGTGTGATGTCACACGTGGCACCGGACTGATACACCGGGCCATCAAATGGCCGACAGGCCGGCACTCAGTCCAGAGTCTTGTCTAAACAGGAAAGTTGTATCGTTCCGTACGAATGGAGGCTGCAGCCCCATGAATTTGGAACTACAGTTACTAACGACTTCTGCTCGCGGATTTTCCATTACTAGGAATGTTTGTACCAACATGCAAGCTTGCAGGCATCCCAGAGCTGTGTCAGATAAACGATTCGCATCGTTCTCCATCGCCACCCAGAAAACGCATCAGCACATTCCGATCGTCTAGCGCTTGTCAGTTCGCCAAGGATAATAACGCATTTCTAGACCACGGCGGTGTGCTGACGGGCGGAGTTTCAGGCAGATCACGTCCACCGATGAGGAATTTCACGCCGCCTCTGCGCATGCGCGTCAGGACGATCCACCCGGTCGCACAATTGCGAAGCCAGCGCCCGGCGCGCCACCGGCTTCAGATTGGAATGGCGACTGTGGTTCGTTCGCAGCCGCTGACAAGCCCGAGGATTCCACGTGCGATTGGCTATACGGTCAGCCCTGAGATCGGCGAACCGGGGCGAACAAGGGAACTGATACAGTTGATCGGCCGTCTCGCATCTGTCAGCCCACCAGAGCGCACCCACTCGGTTCAATACTCCGGTGGGGTCGGTGCGAGCGCGACTCATGCCAGTCTACCGAGCCGCTGCCGCCTTGTGTCCTGGCCTGTGACCCATGACACGTGACTCAACCCCATCCGCCCCCTCTCGCGGAGGTCACCGGACGGCAGGAGCCGACAATAGTGGCGCAGCCGCCATTGGCGGTGAAGGCGTCACCTGCGAGCTCGGTCGCCTCCGATCAATGCAACCGCCGCCACGAGCTTACCAACCGCTGATGGTGTACTGGAATCTCTCTACATTCATTCCAAGCGGTACCACGGCAGCGCACCGCCCCAACCCCCGCTGTCCAGCCAGCTGCAGCCCCGGCCGGCCGCGCAAGACCAGCTGTCCAGCCAGCTGCAGCTCTGACCGGCCCGCAAGCCCCGCTGTCCAGCCAGCTGCAGCCCCGGCCGGCCGCGCAAGACCAGCTGTCCAGCCAGCTGCAGCACCGGCTGGCCCAGCGAGACCCACCGTCCAGCAGCTGCAGCCCTGACAGGCCCAACGAGACCCGCCGTCCAGCAGCTGCAGCCCTGACCGGCCCAGCGGCCCGGCCCGCTGTTCAGCCAGCTGCAACTCGGCTGATGTACTCACATTGAGCCGACGTAGAGCGTGTCGCGCCGCTCATCCAGGTGGAAGGTGCGGTAGTACAGCTTTCCGCAGGTCAGCTCCTTCACGTGCTCTGGAAGCAGAGAGGATTCGGTCAGACCACGGGACGCCACAACAGGTGCGCAGACCGCTGTCAATCGGAACAGAACGAGTAAGACACACGGGCCGTCGCCGACCACAGCGGAATGGTCGCTGTTATCCTCCAGTCAGTCAAAGAACGCACAACTTGGGTTAACATTTTTGACTTGAAGAGAACCCGAATCGAGAGCAAAACAACATTGACAAAGCGGCAGAAAGTGAAAAGGCTAATTAACAACCAGAAGACCTGAAAGTGACCCTCATAGAAAGTGAGCAGTGATGAATGGGGAGAACAAGGAGAACAAGATGAGGGAACAAGGAACAAACATGAAGAGGGTTGTGCGTATAGGAGAGCCAGCGCGGAAAGAAGCTGGGAGGGAGAGAAAGTGAGGCGCGCAATGGAGATAACGGGAAGGGGAGGGGAGAGTGAGATGAAGACAATGCAGAAGGAAAGACAGAAAGGAATAAATGCATTGCGAACCTCCCCCCCCCCCCGCATTACATGCTTTGGATCGTCCCAGACTGAGGATCTCAAAGCGTTCAGAGCTGATGGCGGTGTAATTTTTTGCTCACGTTTGTCCGTCACAACCGTTAACGGTCCACTGTTAGTAGGCGGAGGCGCTCAGGATTTACGACTTTCTAAGGACGTGTAATACCACACCATGTCAGTTTACATGGCTACATGATAGGCAAACAAAGGCGGAATCGGTTTATTACAATCCCAGTGCATTTTCTTAATAAACCTCAAGAGGATGGTGCTTTGGAGACCACCCAATCGAGGCGCTCATCGCCAACATCATCAAAAGGCAGGCTATTCATCAGGGAGTTGCGTTTTGGGCCATGGGTAATGGCCATCACTATCCATCAATGTCCCATCGTCTCGTATCAATATGACAGATCGCGTCGAATTTGGGACCTTTCCGAAGTAGGCGTCACTTACAGACACACCATGGCGGTAATATTAGCATACAAAAAAAAAACACAAAAAACAACTAGAAGTCTGCATGCCTCTCACCACGCCAGCGACCGCCCCAGCCATCACCGCACGCTCCGAGGCGTCCAGCCCCACAAATAAACACACAAACAACGGAAATTAGCCCGAACCGGAAGAAATGGTCGGCTGTTTGTTTCCTGACGCGATTAAGAGGCAGCCGCGGCCGAGACGATGCCTCGGGAGGGCGCATAACTCAGCCGGGCGGCGCGGCGCCACAACAGGCTAGCCGCTATCGATTCCCATCCGTCCCGTTAAGTGTCTGGCCGGCCGGCGCCGCGCCGCCAGGTGTGCGTCGAGCGCCAGCGCACCGCGGCCCTGCATGGCAGGCGATCTCGCGGCGCACTGCGGCCGTCCTCGCGCACCGCGGCCGTCCCGGCGCACTGCGGCCGTCCCAGTGCACTGTGGCCGTCCCGGCGCACTGCGGCCGTCTCAGCGCACCGCGGCCGTCCTCGCGCACCGCGGCCGTCCCGGCGCACTGCGGCCGTCCTCGCGCACCGCGGCCGTCCCGGCGCACTGTCGCCGTCCTAGCGCACCGCCGCCGTCCCGGCGCACCGCGGCCATCCCGGTGCACTGCCGCCGTCCTAGCGCACCGCCGCCGTCCCGGCGCACTGCGGCCGTCTCAGCGCACCGCCGCCGTCTCAGCGCACCGCTGCCGTCCCGGCGCACCACGGCCGTCCCTGCGCACCGCGAGATCGCCTGCCATGCAGGGTCGGTGGGGACAGCGTGCAGATGGCGCGTGCCTCCCACCGCCTCTGATGGCCGGCGGCGACTCGGTCCGAACGGGCACGGCCGCCGGCACGCACCCGCCCCCGATGGGTCGACCCCGCACTGGCCGCTCACACAGAACGCAGACCGGCGCGAGCAGCAGAGCACTCGAGCGACCCTAAACGCGGCCGCTTATGTGACCCTGCAGAGCGTACGCTTCCAGAGGGCAGAGGGTAATCACGACTCGACGGCGCTATTGTGTCCTAGCTGCGCGCTTTGATACCCGGGCCGTAGGCGCCCTCAAGTGTCTCAAGTGCCCAGCTCCCACCGGCACCAAGAATGGACTCCGCGGAATCGCCTAGGGGCTGCACATCGACGGCCGCTCGGAAATTGCACTTGGAGGGGTCTGGCCTAGCAGCGACCACTATGATGGTGCTCAGCGCCCTCTGAAAAGTGTTCAGCCGCCGCAGGTATACCTTCACGGGCTCTGCTAAAGGAACTGTGCCATGGCAACACCACCAGCCGCCCCCTATGATGGTGCTCAGCGCCCTCTGAAAAGTGTTCAGCCGCCGCAGGTATACCTTCACGGGCTCTGCTAAAGGAACTGTGCCATGGCAACACCACCAGCCGCAGCAACCCGTTGTCATTCTTTGTATCGATTTTCAGCGCACAGTCACTCCACGTACCCAAAATTAGCTCCCGGGAGCAATGAGCAGGCCATTTTTGCCTAACGACTCCCCCTGCTGGCATGCTGGACATGCGCCGGTCTATAAATGACTCCATTTGTGGCGGCGCCGTCGCCCCAGTGGCGTCACCTGGCGCCACCGCGCTGACGCCGCTGTCACTAGCTCAGCCCACTGATGACACCCCACGAGCTCACTCAGTGCCCACCGCCAGACCGTCAGTCAACGGGTGCCTCCACCGGCAGCGTTAAGCGACTCCATCGACCGCGTCAGGCGACTCCATCAGCGGTGTCAAGCGACTCCGTCGACCGCCTCAGGCGACTCCATCGGCGGTGTCAAGCGACTCCGTTGGCAGCGTCGGGAGACTCCATCGACGGCATGGCAGCGTTAGGACACTCCATCGGCAGCGTCAAGCGACCCCATCGGCTGTTCCAGGCTACTCCGTCGACGTCAGGCGATCCATCGGCGGCGTCAGGCGACTCCATCGGCAGCGTATGGAGACTCCATCGGCGGCGGCGGGCGACTCCATCGCTGTCGACGAGTCCACCAGCGGCGGACGGAGCCGCCGTGAACGATCGCTCACACCGCGTGCCGCCGCCCGCAGTGGCGACGGCAGTCGGCGGCAGCATCGGTCGCTGCGGAAATCACGGCGCGCCGGCCGGGCCGCCGGATTTGTCGGCCCATCGAACGTTATAAATCCGCGGCGGCCTGCAGTGACGGGCCATCGGTCTGGCCGGGGCGCCGTCCAATCACGGGCGGTCGCCACACGCGCCGGCCCCGGCTCCGGGCGCCGCCGAAGTGTCCGGGTCCGGGTCCGGTCACGCGGCACGGACACCGCCGGGCGGCACCGGACCCGGTGTCACGGCCGCGCCGGACGGCGCTTCAGGCGATCGTCGTGAGAAGGAAGGCGACGCACGCGGGGAGGCCCGAGCTGCGACCAGAACATCGCGGGCCGGGTCATCAGCGCGCGGGGACAGCTTCACGGGAGACAAGCGGCCGTGGCACGGGACGGCTCTGGGATGTCGGCACCCGACAGTGATGTCTCATCATTTGACGGACCGCTGTCGACAGGACACTCGGAACTTCATGGGGCCGTTCAAAGTTAACGATCTGAGCAGCCCGGGGCGAGTTTGTTGCGCGATGAGGTTTCAACGCATCAACTCAGCAGCGTCGCGAGAGGTCTGCTTCCGTCAGTTCTCGGAACACGACCTGATACTCTTTTAAAACCCATAGCTCTGGAAACCGGCTACAGCCAGCTTACACGCTGATCAAGCGGCCAACTTTGTATTTGAAACTGGAGCCCAACTCCATGGGTCGCCGTAATTGAAGTTCATTTGACCGGTTGTAAAGTTGATATCGGTCGCCAACGTCGGATATTGAAGTTAAGCAATTGGAACAAAAGGCCAGTCGCGGTGGTTACAGTGGCCATGGCGTCTTATAATGTACCAGTTGGATAAAATATAAATGCGATATGTCAAACATCATATCCGACGATCCCTTTCCACGTCCAATTCACGGGCTTTGTGCAAATGCTTCTTCCATGGAACAAGCCAGCATTTTCATCAGGGATATCACTCCAGAGTTAACCGCCACAAACCGGCCACGGCACTGAATTCCAATGAGAACGGACATCGGCAAGCACAAGTTCCTCCACCTGGTCTATATTCCTCAGTCCTAAACCCGCGACACATACCGCGCACGAGTCATCCATCCAAGCCTCCCCAGCGAGCTTACTTGAGCTACCCCTTGAGCAGTCCGATCGCCAGATTACCACGGTCAGGACTCGGAGAGGACAACGATCAGCTCGAATCCCCACCACAGCCCAAGTAAACGGAGCAGACAAGCGATATGCGGCCAGCTCGGATCAGTTTGTACAGTCAGGGCGGCCGTTAAAGTATAGCGGAACTAATCACTCGGCTATCAAAATGTCAGGCGATGGGACAATTTGGACCGACGCCCAGGCGCGCAGCAGGAGACTGCCAGCGTTCGGCGGGCCGGAGCGCTGCGATGGGCTTACGCGTAAACACCCTGACATCCAAACGTTATTGAGGCATCGGAGCAGCGCAGCAGCATCATTCCTATTCGCGCGACTTAACACCGACGTGGTAGACTTTATGCATGCGGATGGCGGCAGCTGCACACCTCCCCGAGCTGGGCCTCATTTTAAGATCTGGTCCGACGGTCAAGTCGCCCGCCCTCAGCCGCCACAGGCCAAACAGAAACGCCTCCAAATCACAACACAGCGGAAGCGTACGGCGCAGTCTGGCACGTCGCCGCCGCCGAACGGGCTTCAATCATCGGCCGTTTTACGGAGCGCGGCGATGCGGCTGGCGCCCGCTGCCGCTCGGCCGCCCTTTAGCGCCGCCGTTTTCATTGTCCGTCGCGCCCGTCTCGGACGGTGTTGGACGGCCGCTTGGCACGGGGCCGACGGCCGCGTGCCAGCCGCGCCCGGGCCGGTTCCCGGCCTGGCGGACGCCGCGTCAACCGGCGGCATCTGCCCGATGGACGTGGAAAGCGGCCGCCGGCGCCCCGCAGACGTGGCCACGCTGGCGCAGATGGAGCGCCGCTCGTCGGGTGCCCGGCGTGACCCGATATATGCGTCCAGGCGGTGAC